TTAACAACAGTCGCTGCAGGAAAGCCAATTACAGTGAATGACACATGCGAACACACGCTGGATACACACATACATATGCTTGCACACAAACTCCCACCACACCACGCAGGTCAACGTGACCGCACATTGGGTCATTAAAAAGAATAGTCTCCTTTTTGTCCAGTGACCTATAGTCCGCTTCTGTGCAAAACTGTTTTTGAATGTATTCAGTAAATCCTATTTTCACAATCATTAGCACCACAAGCGTCTTTTGAAAACATCAAGGATAATCAGACCTGACTCAGCGTGGTTTCACCCTAACAGGAGAGCGGTGTTTACATCTCTTAAATTAGAGCGTTGGGTAATAACCAAAATAGTATTATGCAATCAGACCACTATTAAAATATGAGATTATCATACAAAAAATGTGTCACTACAGCAAATACAGCCGGGATGTGGCTGCAAGCACAAGTTTACTTAAAGTGATAGGAGTTCTGCTTTACCAACTTTCAGGTCAGACTGTGTGACTGAGCCTTTTCTGCTTTCTCAGAGGCAAGTGGCTTCCTTATCTGCCCGATCGAAAACATGGATCTTGTTGCTGGCTTCCTGCAGCACAGATAGAAAGGTGTTTATTGGACACAGCCAGGAAAGCTATGAATCCGACTGCCTTATAAACAGGACTACCCTGTGCGTAGCCTGCAGACAAACACTGAGTAAATAAGCCGGGGATCCAATTGATGTTCCTCTGGTAGCTTCCAGTGTGTGTGTGTGTGCGTGTGCGTGTGCGTGTGTGTGTGCGTGTGCGTGTGTGTGCGTGTGCGTGTGTGAGTGTGTGTGCGCTGAAGAAAGAGTGGCCTGACATCGTGACTACACCTCACCTCGGGATGGTTAAATGTATTTGGCAGCAGAAAAAGCACTAATAGCCCTCAATCATTCAAGCAGTCATTAACAAGAGATAGGACGGTATTATACAAAATGTAAACCAGGCAAACACAATGTGATGTTTTAAAGATGTGCATGAATGATATGCATGCATTCAGGATTCATAGTGTATGCACCCTGCACACTCTTTAGATAATAGGGCACGCTGGAGAGCTGAATAGGTAAGAAAAACAACCGGCAGCTCTAGCAAGATAATAAGCTGCCGTCTCATTAATGCGCCGCTACTTCTCCATAACGCTTTTCCAAACATAACAGTCCATCTCCAGCATCGCTCGTCCCCCCTCCAGCTTTCCAATTTACTACCACTCGCCTTTTTAATAATTCCAACAGCGTGATGATGGAAGCTGAGGGAGCATTATGGCCAGTGGTCAGACATCGAGTGGCCCTGCATCGGTCACACTGACAGCCAATTGGGTTAAGGGGGGGGGGGGGGGGGGGGGGGGGGGTCTGTAGTGCCAAGGGTCAAGTGGCATAGACCCCTAAAGCTCATCAGAACATAACCACAGAGTAAACACCAAACTCATGAGGGTGTGTTCATATGATACGGAGCGAGAACATACAGGGTACTATGTATAGTAAAGTGTAATACTTGCTGGGGTCACATTTTTCACATATTTTTACGTGTTTGTTTTAAGACACTTGTTGGACCAGATGTCCAGTATAGTATAGGGTATCATCAAGAGATTTCAGACAAACCAAACTGTCATTTAAGCAATTATTTTTAGCATAGTCCATGTGCAGTATGCAAAAGACAAAAACATTTTCATAATAAATTCATTTGTGGATTTTTGTATGAAGTACTATAAACAATAGTTAAAATCCATCCAGCATGAATGCCATAAATTCAATGGCTCACCTATCAGATTTGTACATTTGCTGTTTGTATTTGTTCTCTACGACTAATAACTGAATGCATTTGGGCGTATTGCTGTTTTTACTATTTTCTGACAGACGATTACCAAGAAAATGTATGGATTAATCAGGAAGATAATCTGCAGATCAGTCGATAATGAAAATAATCATTAGTTGTGTTCTTAAATTGATGAATTGCTTAGTCTAAAAAAACCTTTACATTTCATAATAGAAACCAGATTAATGAAGCAGTTCCGTAGATTTGAAATCGTGATATAGGGAATTGACAAATTAAAATATGCTTTATAATTGGCCAAAATATGTTAGGAACTTCAAGTCAGTGGCATAGTCATCGTGTGGAGGTACATATAGGGTCTCAGCTGTTCACATGTAAATGCAGTTTGGGTTACCTAAAACCAGCATACATTGAAGGAAGTAAGTGTGTATGATGGCAGGCTACAGATACTGTAACATGTCAAGCCGTCTCGTGTCATGGGTCATGCGATAAGGCCAGCCATGGGAACGGTATGGGAAATATGGGGCGTATGGCCAGGCTGTGCTGGGAAGGCCATCTGGTTCCACCTTCCACCATATGATCACGCCTCTTCCAAGACTCTCTCACCTTCAAAACACAACAGCACTCACGACCCCCCCTTCACCCACCCAACCCCCATCGTTAATGCCCCTTGCATTGATGCAGTGTTATTGACCGTCAGATATGTTTCCGGTCATTGGCATTATTCTTGTATGACCTCCCCTCTCCAAACAATGCCACTCATCATGCTCTACATGTCTTCAAATATTGATCTGCCCAACATCTTCTACAGTCACAAAAGAGGAGCCTGAGGAGAGGAATGGCAAAAGGAATCTGCAAGGAAGGTCGAGCTGTCACACAAAAAACCCCCCGCAGAGAGAGAGATGGAGAAAAGTTTGACGGATTCTTAATTTCGGTGAGATATCAAACGGCATCGGAGAGAGGAGAGCGCTGAAAGCCCTGCGAGCTGTCAGGAATCTGCCAGTAACCCGCAGTCTGAAGACAAGACCTCCTTTACTCTCTGGCTGAATCACTGATGAATTATTTTGTTATGCAGACGGGTCCTTCTAGCTCGCAGAGAAAAAGTTAAAGTCAGTATTTTTGATAGACCTTGGCAAGATGATGACTACTGGATTATTCATAATGTTTTCTTTCTCCTTCACGACCAATCCGTTGTTCTATCTTTCACGAGGCAAAGATGCTACGGCCTCTGCAAACTAAATGCGAAGGATTTGGGCGCTACCCTGCTGGTGTAAAGTACCAAAATAAATCAGAGTTTATATTTAACTCAGACGTGGTCTGGTGCAGGCTCCCCCACTAATTGAGGGCTACGCAGTAATCTTCAGTGGGCTAAAACTAATTTACCATAAGCTCTGCTGCAGTATTAAGATGAGGTCAAGGCCGATCAACATCTCTCTATTGCTATATACATTTTTCTGAGTATAAAACTACGTGAAAGACATTTAAGTAGAGTATAAATCATCACTGCAAAATGTAGCAGCTAAAAGAGGTTCAAATGCCTGTTCCAATCTATTTTTGAAGAAATGGATGAGCAAAAGCCAGACTAAAGACCACCGAAACAACAACATGGACTGTGAAATTGATCCATATATGGGTAAAGTGTGACTTGGACACAGGTTGCAAATGTTTGCCTGACAGCACGACCCAAGCAGGTGCTCCCAAGCTGAGGAATGTCAAGCTGAGTTGAAAAGGTCGCACCATGATGCAGGCCTGGCTCTAAGTATGTCAACTATCTCAGTCTCAAGGGGGTCACGGACATTTTGGGATGCATCTGGAGAGGGCATGCTCTCAGGTTGTTGACATGCATTTAATCCCAGCTCACCTAATCCAAGCGTGGATTCCATGGACACACTGAAAAAACTGAAACGTTGACTTTAATTAAATGTATTATGCCAACAAGTTTCACATAACTGTATTAGGTTAGTTGAATGTTAAGTTTAAATGAAAAAAGATTAGGTTAAACTTAATATTATTGCTTTCAACTAACGTAATACAGTTATGTGACATTTGTTGACAAATTACATTTAATTAAAGTCAACGCTTTAGTTTTTGAGTGCAGGAAATATTTGCCCCGCTTTTGATCCATCACACTTGGTGCACAGCCTTCAAACTGATCAGATACAAAGGAGGAAAGAAAGACAGTTGGAGGGAGGGAAACAGCTTCTGGTTTTGGCCGAGGTTATCTAATGGCCTTCAACCCCAGAGTAAACGGTGAACATATTATCAATGTCGTAAACTGACAAACTTCGGTAAGGAGCAGACCAGTGCTGATGAGAAGTTGACCTTATTCATTCTTATTTCTTCCTTCACTCCCTCTCTGTCTGTCTTCCTTTTTGTTTGTGCATCTGAGCGCTGCCAACCTCGGTGGGGAAGAGAGCGTTGTGATGGTGTAGGCTGCCTGTGTGTGGATGCGCTTCAAACACAGGGAACACTTCCAATAATGTATGCACATCATGCCCTGGTACACACACACCCACACAGACACAGACACACACATGCAAGAGCTAACAAAAGCACATTCCTGCGGTATCTGTGCAAGTGAAAAACAAAAGAGTTTTAATGCCATGGCTCTCACACATTTGGCACTACAACCCAGGAGCAATAAATCCTGGCCTGGGGTCTCATTCAGAGCCTTGCAGGCGATGATCGGGGAACAACTTTCAATACTCCTTCAAATGCTTGTGCCTTGATCACAACAGTCACTCTATAGGTGCTACTGACATGTGTGCGCCCATTAATGTGTCAGGTAACTCATAAGTCACAGCACTGCTTTACTGCAACACACACACACACACACACACACACACGCACACACACACACATACACACACACACCACACACATACCACTGAACATATCTCATGGTCAAGACTATTTACAGTACAAAATAAGTGGTGGAAGTCCATCTTTCCTTACAGTATCTGATTTCATGTAGTAGCCCACATGCATGCATATTACACATATGTGCACACACATTACACACACACCATCCTGAAGGGCATCGATACATTTCTGCTCTTTTGTATTGAACTGGGTGAACAAAAGCTACATATAACAGCATAAAGAGTGATGTTCCAGGGTAAAAATGATAGGAATGCAACACAATCCAAACAATAAGGAATCAATTAGGAGGAGGAGAGAGATAAGAGGAGTCAGACACAGCAACACTAACCTGTTTCACTTCAGCAGGCATGGTCCAAAATCCCCCCCTTTTGTTTCCGATAAAAAATAAAACCCTCCCGGGAAAAATGTGTGACAACTAGTTCCTGGTTTGGGAAAACTTCTCCTTTCTCCCTTATCCTCCTCTCGTCTCCTCACGCTTCCCGTGTCAGTGTGAGTGGAGTTTTCCCTCCGTAGCGCAGAGGCAGCAGCTCAGACTCGGGCAGCCATCCTCTCTCAGCTGCTGAGTGCTCACTGTGAGCTGCAGACACACCGGAAGTGGAGCGGCGGGCTCTCCACAATAAAAGCACGAGTATTATATTGACATGCTCGCATAGGATAGGTTTACGGATGTGTTGCATACTGTATCTCTTAGCAGTGGTTGAAGAAGTAACCACAAAAAAAGCGTCTTTGAGCTCTGGGAAAATATTTTTTAAATATGATGAATTATTTTGAAATTGGATGAAGTAAAATAACAAAAGTGGTGGAATCAGACAATCTTAAGGTAGGGTAGGTAATTCACTTGAGGAACACTTTTTGTTATATTCCATGGAATGCTCTGAACATCCCGATAGCAATGAATAAATTAAATGCTTTGACAATAAATACATAAACATATTTCATCTGTGGAAGCCGTGGCGCTGTAAAAAGCACGACCAATCATCTGAGCCGGCCCGGCTAAAATAACTGGATGGCCTACCTGCCTGTCAGCCTTCCATCTCGTGCACACACTTATCTCGTGCCCTCATTGGTCATGTGCATGTTCGTGTGTGTTGGAGCAGGGGCTCTGTAAGGAAGTCTGAAGGAAGGGGCAGATTTCTTTCAGTTGTGTACTTTCAAATTCTAGCTTACTCGAGCTGGTTTCTCCATTCTTACCTACCCTAATTTTAATGTACTAACATTATGGCCCATTTCAGAATCATATATTTTATATTACTGGATTATAGAAGCCTAATTGATGCATTCATGTCTTTATCACAGCTGGTAAACGTGGAGATAATTTCAATTACTTGATGCTGCTGGATATCGTAACCTATAATTGTATGCCAATGTTTATGTATTAGCTGATTTGAGAAGTACCTAATTATTTTACTTACAGCAAAGGCTAATTTATTAAATGTACTTCACTTCATTCCACCACTGTCTGCCATCAAACAATAAAACGATAATAGGAAAACTGTGTATGGATCAAGTTGTAGACAGACTGTGTTGTTACAAGAGACATTGGTCTGATGAGATACTAAGGTTTCATACTTCGAATATCTTCATATCAGGTATCAAAACCATATTCCGCAACTTAAAGGTGGGGTATGTAATTTTGGAGATACCAGCTCGAGTGCGCTAGAATTTGAAAATACACAACCGGAAAAAATCTGCCCCTTCCTTCAGACTTCCTTACAGAGATTATTAGTAGTGAAAGCCAGCTCCAGAATTTGGATAAATAAGAACAGAATCTGAGTTACCATTAATCTTTTCAGTACCGATAGTATTTAGCCAGATAAGGTGATTCTCAAAAACGGCAAAATAATGATGTGGGCTATATCAGAAGTGTATTTGTGTGTGCGTTGAATGGACAAGGAGGAGTTTTGATTCATAATCATTCAAGAGACAAAATGGCACGTTTAGTTGTTATAGTTCAATTGATTGAGCATTGTGAGCTGCAAAAAGCTTTGGCTGTGTTTTATTTTGAAAGGAAAATCGCACTACATCCGGTGCAATACTGCCAACTTATGCTGGTTTGACACAACAGAAAAAAGGGAAGCCAGCTTTCCCTTTAGCAGAGATGCTGTAGGAATATATGGAATGGAGAGAGATGGAGGGCAGAGGTACCCCCCCCCCCCCTCCCCTCTCTCTCTCTCTCTTTAGGGAAAGCAGGAATCCAAGAAGCTGAACACACGCATACACACTCACTGAACAACAAAAAAAGTTAGCTTGAGGGAGAACAAAAACCTCAGGGTCTCCTCTCTCTCATTGGGTCTATGTCTGGCATCTTATAGGGTGGGACCAGCTCCCTGTATGCACTCCAGCTGCGTCTGTCTGTCAATCCGACGACCCCTCCCCCTTGTTGGCATAGACAGGGAGAGAGGAGGAAAAAGACGAGAAAATGGGTGGGGGGGGAGACAGGGGTTCACACAACAAACAAAAGTTGGCCCTATTGAAGCAAAGGCACTCAATACTCGGCACATTTTTACACGCTACACCCTAACACACACACACACACACACACACACACACACACACACACACACACACACACACACACACACACACACACACACACACACACACACACACACACACACACACACACACACACACACACACACACACACACACACACAGCTCCTTTTCTCCTCCTCTTTGTCCCGTTCCTCTCACTGCACTTGATATAAGGGAGGGGTGGGTACGTACGTGAAAGAATTCACATTGAAAATATCTATGACTGTGACAAGGAATGTTAATCTAGTAATGTAGATGGAGGCTTAACTAGGGACAACTTTGAGACGTCTGAACGCACAGAGGAAAGGAAAAAAAGAATGACTGGACTTAAAAAAAGAAAACAGAGAAAAGGAGAAATCTCTAACGGAGGGGAAATGGCTGAGGTTTCGCATTCCTCACGCTGGTATTTCATCTCCCCGAATGTTACTGCTCCATTTGTTTTTAGACCTGGCCACCATTGCATTTAATTTCAACAATACCATTAAGAATACATTCAACCAACATCGCCTGCAAAAAGTGTTTTTTCTTTCGTATTATAACTACAACCGCCCTGCATTTCCTTCTCTTATGTGATTTGCTATATCACATTACATTACATGTCATTTGTTATCACATTACATTTAAGCCCTGAATGAGTTTCATAACCTTGTTTCAAAATCCATTAAGTGCTTTGGAAATCTCCTGGGAGCAGATTAGAAAAGATGCATTACTCTTTATTACCTCTGCATAAGTGTCTAGCCTTTGTTCAATTTATCATTTTAACTTGTGCTTATTGTTTTTAGGAACATTTGGAACATTCCCATGTCATTTAGATATGACCAAGACATTAGCAGCTCTGTGATGCTGTGCTTAAAGCCAAAAGTCCTTACATTGTTGTATTTGTATTGCTGGTCGTTTGAGCCAAAAGTCACCAAGCTAAAAAATCATCTCATATGCTAATGTTTAGCAGGTGCTGTTTCACCTTTGTTTAGTGCAGCATGATAAAGAGAGAGATATTTTATACGGTGGCAAACAGGTGCAAACGTGTGACAACTGAACATTAAAAAACAACACAAATATTAAAACATCAAAGTGCGAAAGCATGCATTAAATACATCTTAATTCTACTTGCACTGTCCCCTTGCTGTTACACTGTTCTTCTCCCAATGTGGGACAAAACATGTATTTCTGATTCTGAAATGATATCAACACATTGGTTGAAAAACTGTCAAACAACTCCTGCAGTATTATAGTGCGATATTCATCATTTGTATGCTCACTACTTCCCACATGCATTATGGGGACCAACCCCAAGACCACCTGTCACTAAAACCATGCTACAATATGCACATAGACATATTTTCCTACACAGATAGGTAAGAACCACTTCAACTAAAGTAAAAAGGCAGATGAAAAACCAAAAAATACAAAAATTATTCCTGGAAAGTGTTCATCATCACAGGTTGGTGACACATAGCGTTTCCACGAATACCTACTTGTAGACAAAAAGCTGTAATCTCTTGAGTGTAGCCAACCCACGCCTGGGCTTGTAAAATAAATGCAGAGAGGTGTATGAATAATCCTGGAGTTATAATCAAAGCTCGTGAATTCAGCTTTACTCTGTCGGGCTGAACGTCGTGAAGCAGATGGTAGAAAGGTTAATGTTCAGTTACAAGGCGTTCTTTGACAGCCAGACACCTCCAATGTAGCTGCATCTGTTAAAATCATGTTTTCCACTTATGTTCAAGATGCCAGATGAATAGAAAAACACACATAGAGAGACAGAGGAGCAAAAGCAGACACAGAAGTAGAGTGAAGTCAGGAGCGGCTGATGAATTGAAAACATATACGGCATTTCATTATGGAAGAAAAATGTTTTTATAGTCTTCCTTTTCAAAAGAGACATCTCATTTTGAATACTTCAAAAGCTTTTCCACTCTGCCAAGAATACATAAATTGAAGTCACCTTACTTCACCGCCAAACTTTAATGAAGAGGTGAGTAGGTTCAACCAAATATTCCACTAAACTCAAAGCAGATCTGCAAAAGTAATGCGTTAAAGTTTCTTTTCTAAAGATAATACTGACTGCAGGACCAGAATGTGCTCTGCTACAGGCTGAATGTTTATTCTAACAATGGCACAGCTTGCAAAAATGTCCCTTATCTATTCACTCATACTATCATGTTTTATTTTCCCTTTAAAAAATGGCTACTCAGCGATGCAGTGGATTACAGTCCAAGCTATTGGGGGCAAAGAAGGCCATTTTAGATAAAACTGTTGTATTTTCTGCTGTAATGGCACAATACTGTAATGGCAGCATCAGTTTTTTATTTAGTTATAACTGGATTTCCTAGTTTTTTTTACTTTGTCATTAGCAATTGGGAGACTGAATGAGGAACAAACAACAGAATCTGTAAAAGTGAAAGCCTGACACGCAGCAAATTATCACCTTTAGTGTAACAACAAACCGTTTGGACTTGTACCAGAGTTTTATTGTTCAGTTGTTCCCTGGCCTAATGCCCAGCTTTCAACACGTTTCACAAGAAAAACTCTTGAGATTTCTCATGAACAGATGGAACAGCTATTTGGCTAAATTGTATCTCCTTTTTGAGGTAAAATTCAAGTTTTCATATGCCTCAAAAATGTGTTTACATGTTGGCTCATCAACCAAAGTTTCTTGGCAGGTTTGGCAGCCGTTGCATCCGACAATCAGCTTCTAAGGAAGTGTGTTAGTTGTGTAAGGTTCTTTGGAAAGTAATAGATAAAAGTGGCGAGGATCAGCTGTGGTTTTGATCGGGATTCAGCTATGGAATGTTTTTTTCCCAATGAATGTGTATCTGGTATATATGCCAAATGATGCGGCAGAGGATAATCAGCTTGACTAAAGCACTTGGAGTAAGAGGACAGTCGAGAGCATTCATCTTTTCACTATCTTTTCACACATTCCTACACCATAACCATCACCCTCCTCCACACAACGAGACTCTCACTCTCAGACACTCCAAGGGAGACAGTTCTCATACAAACCCCTATCAAACTTTTTT